TTGATGTAGAGTAACCTACAATCAACTTTTATACTAAGATTATTTTTGTTTGTAATAAGAACCCCGGACCTTTATTAAAAATCATATTTATTCGTACGAGTTGATGTAGAGTAACCTACAATCAACTTTTATACTAAGATTATTTTTGTTTGTAATAAGAACCCCGGACCTTTATTAAAAATCATATTAGTCCTCTGGGCTGCATATTTTTTTGCACGGAAAAAATTTGAATTCCGATCGAAGACTCCAACGATCAGATTTTCGTGAACATTTAAAAATCATTCTAACAAAAAATAACTCGTGAAAATATCAAGAAGCATATGAATCCGGTCATGTGTGCAAAATGTACATTGATTGGAGTCAGAGTAGTTTTTGTGGAAACATTAATGTTTATTTTAGATTTTGTTATACCTGAACAAGTATAACAAAAGTTACGGGATCTATATTCTTTTACTACAAATTAAGCAGGTAATTTCAATGAATTTGGTCTTACTCAACTATATTTTTTGTTATTTGAAGACGCATATTTGAGACAATAAACGTTTATTTGCAATTTTATTCATGCTGATTTCAAAAGCCTCTTGCATAGCCACCCCTCCCTTACTTTAACTGAATCAGGAATGGTCGCCCCCTCACAATTTGAAATTGAATTTGTACTCACTTCTATTTCGGTTTCTGTGTTTCAATATCTATCCATGAATTTACTGGTATGTTCACAATACATTTGTTTTGGAATAATATAAAAGGTATTGTGAACATATTTAATTCATGGATAGATACTGAAACACAAATTAAAAAAATTAAGTACAATTCTAAATTAAATCGCTGTGATCCGTCCATTCATTTTTCAAATCAACAGAACAGCTGTATTCAACAGGTCGGGCACATTTCCTTATAAGTACATGTATAATTTAGCATACTTATGCCCCCGTCAATGCATGTATTAGTGTTTGTTTACAAATAAAGCATTTTTTTTATTTTGGCGATTGACCAATCCACTGAATGATTTGCAATGCATGATGGACTACTTGTCTATAACTGACACACTACTTAATTTATTTTTATTTTTTTTATTTTTTTTTTTTTTTTAATCTATATAATTTTATTTGAAATGTACATTTGTTAGAGATACATAAAGTACCGGTACCTTATCCCGGTCTCGTTGACGTTAGTATATAGCATTTCATAAGGTTTGTACTTGTTAGTACACAGCATACAGTTTTGCTAATAAATAATAACAGAATAAAAAGAAACTACTATGATATATTATAAATCTTAGTTAAGAAGATAAATTATTTTTTTCTGCAACCAAATTGTAGAAGTTTTTATATTTGCCTTGTTTATTTGTCAATATTTCGTAATGTTGGAGAAGTTCACTTTTAAAAATTTCAAACACATTAATTTGTTTTTTCTGTTCGGATATGTAATACACTTTATATATAGTAAAAAGTATGATTGTTAGAAAATCGTTGATATTGTAATAATTTGTATCGTTTATCTTATATCCATACACAAGTGATGCCAGTGATATTATATGATGTCCTATTTTAAGTTTATCTAGTATTAGTTTTATTTGATCCCAAAATGATTTTAGATATTTGCATGTCAGAAAGTAATGATCATAATATTCAATGACATTACATATATTACATAGAGGAGTTTAAGTTATTTTCCAAGAGAAAAGTAATTGTTTGGTTGGTAAAATGTAATGTAGAAATTTCCATCTTAACATTCTCAATTTATTATCTTGGATATAGTTAAAGATGAAGTACAGCATTTGTTCTCTTTTCCTTGTATTGTTATCTAATTTTAGAATTCTGTCCCATTTTTGAAATCCTATTGCTTTCTCATAATATCTATTTAAAAGCGAGATGTAGATATCTTTCGAGAAAAATATTTTTATTGGTACCATTTTTTCCTTCTCTATCTTTGAATTTAAATTCGGAGTCGGTAGCAACTTTTGTTTTGATTGACTCTTCTTTTATGAGCTCTTGTAACCACTGTTTTGGTATTGCTTTCATCAATTTAGAATATTCCGAAAACCAATTAGCATGGCAAGATAGTTTATCTAAAATCTTATTTTGATTAATTTTTCCTTTATCATCAATTATGTCATTTACAAATAAAATTTTGCTGTTTATCCAATTTTTGAAAATAAGACATTTACCATTTAATTTGATATGCTTATTGCCCCATATTAGTTGCTGTCTGATATGCTTATATGTTAGTCGATTTGATTCTTTTTCAGATTTTGAGTTTATCCATGATATAATTATTTTTAAGTAAAATTCTGGAGCAATTTCTTTTAGCTTATTGATTAGATTAATATTGTTAAAGTCCATTTTAAATATAAGGAATTCTTGTCCAAACTTGTCTAAGTAAAATTTTGGTAAGACTTTCCAATTGGGTGATGAGTCTTCATTATCAATGAGTCTTTTTACCCAATTAATATTTATGGATTCTATATATTTATCTATGTCTATCATTTTAAGCCCGCCGGCAAGATAATTTTTACTTATTATAGCTCTTTTAACTTTTTCTGGTTTATTATTCCATATAAAACTATATATTATTTTTTTAAATTTTGCGAGATATTCTTTATCAATTTCTGTTACTGATGCAACATAGGTTATATTTGGTAGGATTAGTGATTTAACAAGAGTTATTTTACCTAACATAGTTAATTTTATTTTACTCCAATCTTTAATTATTTTTCCGATTTTTCGTATTGTCTTTGCAAGTTTAATTTTTTTACACTCATTTTTATTAAGTCCAAAATATATTCCTAATACTTTTATCGGCTCTTGTGTCCACTTAATGTTTTCAACTTTATCTTTACAGGATTTTAAATTTCCGAGCCATATCCCCTCTGTTTTATTTCGATTAAGCTTTAGGCCTGAAAGTGATCCGAAAATTTCGATAATGTTCAAAGTTAATGAAACTTCTTGTTTTGAATTCAAAAATAAAGTGGTGTCATCTGCAAGCTGGCTTAACTTTAGAGTATGGGTTTTATTATCTAGTTTGATTTGAAAACCTTTAAATCTTTTATCTTGTCTTAATCTACAGGCTAAAATTTCAACAGCAACAACGAAAATTATAGAACTCGCGGGACACCCTTGACGGATCCCACGCTCAATGCTGAAGGGTCTTGAAATCCACCCATTATTTAATATACAACCCTTTATATCTGTATATAAAGTATTTATCCACTTCAATAAAGATTTCTGAAAGCCAAATTTCTTTAATGAACAATACATAAATTCCCATTCTAACGAGTCAAATGCCTTTGAAAAATCTAAAAAAAAAGAATTGCCCCGTCTACGTTGAATTTTTCTGAATAGTCTATAATATCTTGGATTTGTCTGATATTAAACCCAATTTATCTGTTTTTTATACATACCCGTTTTGATCACTGCGAATGATTTTATGCAATACTGGTTTAAGTCTTACTTAATTTTTCATTTTTTGCCAGAATAGAATTTTTCTTACTTTTTTTCTCTCGATTACTTGGTGATAATGAATCTGAATCAACCCATTCTTTCAAAAGAAAATTTTTGCTGGGAGTATATAAATATATTCAAAACAAATTCCTATAAACTTTCATGCAGACACATTTATTTTATTGAATGGACATGTGTAAAATAGTAATTATGTATATCCCCATTGAGAGGCCCTTGACATGACACGATGTCATTTAAATATCAGGTGTCCATGTCCACACTTTTATGAAATTCATTCTATATATATACCTGCTTTCGCCTTCAGGAGCGACGCAGGTAAAAATTACTACCGGGTTCTGATTTGTTTGTTTTTGTGCAATTCTTATAGAGATCTTGGTAATCATTCGAGTATAGACCGTTTCTTTCACGGTGTCGATAATTATTTCTCTCCCATAAACATTGGTGGGTCTGGTCTGATCGAAGCATGAGCAGAAACTAATAATCCGACGTTGATTAAAATTTACAAAAGTTGCAAAGGTACATCTGGCGAGAAGAAATTGTTAAAAAAAATCGTTAACTATTTAAATTCGTTAGGGAGCAGTTTCGGATACAAAATGTAATCGTGACTGAAAACAAACGACATTTCAAAAGCATTGCGCTACGGCGGGCTTAATAATTATATTGTGTCACTTGCTTAACGCATATTCCCTGATTTTCAAGTGCACCGTTTGTAGAGTACCCTCTGAAGGAATTTTTGCTGATTTTGCTATACTAAAATAAGGTAAGACGCAATTTTGGAACTATAACAAAAAGATTATAAACCTTATACAACAGATTGTTCGAAAATCTCAGGATATGTAGAGGAAGTCTAAAAAATTAGATAGACTTATTACACACTATAAGGTTAAGTTTGAACACGCCATCACAGAATTAAAAAAAAATATAGTTATGGGGAATTGTTGGTGACATATCAAATACAACGATTCAAATCTGTCGTGACAATTTCGCTGAATTAGTATGACGTCAAAAAGTTTTATTTACATAACAACGAAAATCATTTGGTTTTGCTATGGTATCTCTATTGGTGCTATTTCAATTTTGAGATGACCCCTTATTTTTTGTCAACTGTAATTGTCTAAGTGGAATCCTAGGTATAGACATCCGCAAATGTCTAGTAGTCAGTACTTCAAATTTTTTCATGAGTTATCATTGATAAGTTCATAAATATGAATTAACTGTTTACAAAACTTTGAATTTTTTCGAAATACTAAGTATTTTCTACCCTAGGAATAGATTAACTTAGCTTTATTTTTCAAAACCTTTCAGAATTTTGGGTCCCCAATGGTTTTCAACCTCCTAATGGTTTTATCCTTTAAAGCTTTTTGATTTAAGCGTCATTGATGAGTCTTATATAGACGAAAGGCGCGTCTGGCGTACACAATTTGTATCCTGGTATCTATGATGAGTTTATGGTACTATGTAAACGCTATCAGATACTTTCAAAGACTGCATTATTCTTAATTGATTATCAAAGTAGGAATGATTTAGAAAATTCTAGATTTATAACCTAATATCAGCATCTTCAAACGCCTCTGCCTGGGGTATACATTTCTGTTTTGAATAAAGGCAATCGTAATTTTCAATAAATTCATATTCAGGGTCACCATCTGTTTCTTCTTCTAAAATCTCTTTTCCACTTGAAATACCGTAAATGTTTTTAGAGTCAGTTGTAATGTTTTCTTTTTTTAAGTTCTTTTCAGCCAGGAATGCATGATCATATGTATCATCAATTTCCTCTTCGTCATTTGTTGTACTGTCAAATGATTTACACAGGGCGTTTTGACTTGCACCAATCTTTATTAATTCATAATTTTCCAGATGCTCTTCATCCTGTGCACCATAACTTTTCCAGGCTTCTTGGCGAGGAGGCTGTGCCTCTGCATAGATAGAAGGTTCATCAGGTTCCTCAGGTTTTTCATCACTTAAGGAAGCAGGTTTTTGAGTTAGGTCACCTCTCTGATCTGCTTTCTCAAAATGAGGCTCAATAAATCTGTTGCAGTCAAGCGGAAGTTCGAGTTCATCATACATATTGTTTTCATCCTGATCATTATCCTCTTTGTAAACTTCCTGTTCGCTTTTATCATTTGGCTTTTTGTCTTTAGATTTTGAAACTGCTCCTAATTCTTTCTCATTTTCTTCGTCCTTTTCGTCTTTGGTTTCTTGTATTTTGATCCTACTCTTGCTAGATTGTTCACTTATTAATCTAATTTTACCGCTAATTACATCTTCTAATTCACGTTTGAATTCGGAAGAAACATGAGGATACTGATGTCTGGATAAAGGTGCTTTGATATCGGAATTGTCGTTCAATGATGATATCTCCTTTGTTGGAGGAGGTGAATGTTCTCTCCTCGGTATGGGTTTTGAAATTCTGTTTGATAATGGTTTTATTTTTTCAGACTGCGAAAAACCAAGTTTACTTGTTAACTGCTCACTTACTCTCCTTTTGGTAAGTTTATCAATTGCTTTAGAAATTTCAGAGGAATCCTCATGAACCAATATAAATGTCCCTGCACCTGTTTCACTCCTACGTCCTGCTTGTATCATAAAATTGTTACCTTGTTTGCCATATCTTTTCAATGCATCGTAATACCATCTATACTTAGCTTCTTTTTTTTACTAAGTCCTCTAACATAAGGCACACTTCCGATACATACAGGCGGTATGTACTCGTCAGGTTAAGTCTTTTGCTATCTTCATTTTGTTTCAACGTCACATCAAATCTAGCAGCTAAAATAAATAATAAAATGTAGTAGAATAGCATTCTGTCAAAAGGACTAAAAGCTATGTATGTTCTTCAGTAATATAACTCAAGTTGTCAAAATAAAAAAACCCTAATGGATCCGAGGAATCTGTATCGTTCACCCGGCACATGTGCATTAAATTGTAACGTCTCAATGCAAAATAATATTCTGATAGTGTCTGGAAAAAATTAAGTAAAAAAAATGATTTCGGGCATGTTGAATTATTTGTAGATCTTATTTTTGTTGATCATTTGGTTATTTACAGTTGCTCTCATTCTGTTATAGTGTTTGATAAAATAGGTACTTATAGTCAATTAATGACAATAAATCTTATACGGAATCGAATGATGTTATCGGTCATTTGACTTTTTAGTACATTTTGTTCTGCTGATAGTTATTGCCATTAACAGCTTCTCTTTATCTACTATAATGTTTGCAAAAAAAAAAATGTTGGTAAATATCGTCATTCAAGAGCAATAATTCATATAAGGATTCGACACATTTCGGTGGTGTTGACCTTTTTTGAAAATATTGTCATGTTTATCAGTTTAATATAACTTTCTACATTTCGACTATAGAAGAGGGACAGTCAAACTCATAGATCGAAAACACACTGACAACGCCATGGCCAAAAATAAAAAGACAAACAGACAAATAATAGTACAGATGACACAACATAGAAAACCAAAGACTAAGCAACACGAACCCCACCAAAAACTGGGAGTGATCTCAGGTGCTCCGGAAAATACACAAAAACTGATAAATCGTATTCAAGGACAATAATTCCTACACGGAGTCGACTGAAGATTTCGGCCATTAGATCCTTATGAGATCTCGCGCTGCTGAGATTATTACAATTTACAGTTTCTCTTAATCTATTATAGCTTTCGAGTTAATTGTCAAAATCTAAAAAATTAGCTTTGGCCAGATTTGTGTAAAATTGAACAGACAACGACGACGGATGGCGATAGACGACGAACTTCAAGTCATGGGAATAGCTCACAATGCCCTTTGAGCCAGGTGATCTAAAAATGTAAATGAATTAAGTAGATACATGTAAATCATTCAACATGCAAATAATCCAAACTGAAAATACTGTAGCCTATCTACATCTATCTATTTTGCTTTTAGCTAATGAAAAATAACTTGGATATAATGAAAAATATTTAACTACACTATTCAAAGCCAATAACAAAACAACAAAATTTTCATTGTCACTTTATATCCAACGGAGTCCCTTCACTAAATCTTTTGTTTCACCAAAAAAATGTTGTGTACAGAATAGTTGCATTCAGAAGATTTCTATCTGTTTCTAATTTCAAATTATTCAGATTAAAAGTATAATTTAGTCAAAAAAATAAGTGGTTTTCACACTGTTTCCTTTTTCTAAGAGTTTCTTAGAATTTGCATACCAGGATTCATCAGAAATAAATAAATATCAATTTTTATCAACAGGACGGATGAAAAATACTACTATCAGTTGTACAATTCAAAAAAGAAATGCCAAACATTGAAATTACCTTTTATATTCATATTATCAATGGTATAATGTGTAAAATGCAGAAGAAAGAGCATAGTATAACCGTACTGCATTTTTGTCGAGCCTGCGAACCATGTATACAAAAATGAAGTTTGAGATTTCACTGTCATACACATGCTATAACTGATATATTTGACCAAGTAGGGTGCCTAATGCCAACGAGCTTTGATCAAATTAAATTTTATATCAAATACCTTAACAACCTTTTATGCACCTGTCCTAAGTCAGAAGCCTGTTGTTCATTGGTTGTCGTTTGTTGACGTTGTTCATAGGTGTTTCTCGCGTCTCGTTTTTGTCTCGCCTTGACGGAGTCAAAAAGCGAGACATATGTATGCTGTTTCCGGTGTCGGCGGCGACGGCGGCGGCGGCGTCAACAATGTATTAGTTTGTGATTAGGTCTAGTTTATGGTGAACCACTAGTGGTAGGTCAATGATATTTGGTATGCAGTTGTATTAGCATTGGCACATCTCATTGCCATGGAGATTATTTGGCCCGTCCTCTCAGTCATGGTAAATCGATATTGAAACTTTGCTTAGTTTACATGTACTAGTTTGTGATTAGGTATGTTTATGGGGAACCACTAGTGATAGGTCAATGATATTTGGTATACAGTTGTATAAACATTGGCATATCTCATTTCCATGGAGATTATTTGGCCCCATCCCTTTAGCCATGGTCTATTGACTTTGAAACTTTTGCTTAGTTTACAAGTTAATGTTTGTGTATATGTTTCTTTAAAGGGAACGACTTATGAAAAGTCAATAATAGTTGATATGCAGTTGTATTAGCATTGGCACGTCTCATTTCCATGTAGATTGTTTAGCCCTGTACCTTTAGTCATGGTTCATTGACTTTGAATATTTGCATAACTTACATGTTAAAGTATTGTTATTTTAATTTCAGCATTTGCATTATCAAAATAACAAATAGGCGAGACATATCTCTGTGTTAACAGTTTATTTATATAGATTAGACCGTTGGTTTTCCTGTTTCAATTGTTTCACACTAGTCAGTTTGGGGTCCTTTATAGCTTGCTGTTCAGTGTGAGCCACGGCTCCGTGTTGAAGGCCGTACTTTGACCTATCATTGTTAACTTTTTATACATTGTGACTTGGATGGAGAGTTGACTCATTGGCACTCATACCACATCTTCTCAGGCGGGACCCAGTTGAATTAAACAAAAGAAATGGAACTTTTTGTTAGAGAAGGTAAAAAGGGCGAAGTTGGTAAACTTGAATTGTTTACATCTGTTTCTATGGGCTTTAAAAGTTCAATTAATGTTCCTAATTTAAAATTTATGCGTCTTATATATGTTTTTTTACTTAAATTATGGTATGGAGATTCGAGATATTTGTAAACTTTTAAATTATAGACAAATTTTCACAAAACAGTCGATTGTGGTAGGTGCAAATTCATGTGGATCTTTTTTGTGCATAAATATAAATTCCACCGAAACAAATTTAAAAGAAAGATAATAGATTGATCTTTTTAAAACATTAATTTGCATCTCTGTCCCCGGCGACAGTTTTTTGGAAAAACATCCTCAAAATGGGCAATAATTTCATCGAAAAGAGAAAGTCCAGTACACCTTTTCATGTTCGGGCGTGTTTGAGTGGACTATTCTGTTTTGAAAACGTAAAAAAGAAAAATATTTGATGCATCATCTCGCTTCAGATTCTATTATTTTTATATATTTAGGCTGCAGGTTGATATAATGACATTAAAAAATTTACAGTACTAATAAATGAAATATATGGGTCAAGTGAAATACCTTTCTAATGAGTAATAACAACAGAGTAGGTGTGTTCGAATAACACATTTTTGTCGAGCCTTCGACTTTTGTCGAAAAAGCGAGACATAGCGATCCTACATTCCGTCGGCGTCGTCGTCGTCGTCGGCGGCGGCGGCGTCCACAAATATTCACTCTGTGGTTAAAGTTTTTGAAATTTTAATAAATTTCTTAAAATATCCTGGATTTCTACCAAACTTGGACAGAAGCTTGTTTATGATCATAAGATAGTATCAAGAAGTAAATTTTGTAAAACAAATATCCTGTTTTTCCGTATTTTACTTATAAATGGACTTAGTTTTTCTGCCAGGAAACATAACTTTCACTCTATGGTTAAAGTTTTTAAAATATTAATAACTTTCTTAAACTATCCTGGATTTCTACCAAACTTGGACAGAAGCTTGTTTATGATCATAAGATAGTATCCAGAATTAAATTTTGTAAAAAACAAAATCCTGTTTTTCCGTATTTCACTTATAAATGGACTTAGTTTTTCTGCCAGGAAACATTACATTCACTCTGTGGTTTAAGTTTTTAAAATTTTAATAACTTTCTTAAACTATCCTGGATTTGTACCAAACTTGGTCAGAAGCTTGTTTTTGATCAAAGGCTATCTAGAAGGAAATTTTGTTAAAATTTTATACCTGTTTATCCGTATTTTACTTATAAATGGACTTAGTTTTTCTTCCAGTTAACATTACATACAGTCTGCAGTTAAAGATTTAAAACATTTATAAGATTCATAAACTATCCTAGATTTTTACCAAACTTGGACAGAAGCTTCTTACAATCAAAAGATTGTACTGAAAGGAATATTGTTATTATTTTTTGTCCTCATTTTCGTTGAGCCTGCGATTAACAGCAAAAGTAGGCGAGACACTGTGTTCCGCGGAACCCTTACGAATTTTTACTAAAAGTACTTGACAAAAGACTTTTCAAGTAGATCTTAAAAATGCATAGCTTCAAAAAAACTCATTTTTTGTGTTTGTTATCTAGGATAATTAGTCTTCAACCTCTGAAAATTTTTAGTCTGCCCTTCTACGAAATATTTAATTAGAATTTTTTTAAATATTTTTGAATTTTCGAAAAATTCCCCCTGATAACCGAGCAGACAATAGTTTTAAGTTGATCAAATGAATAAAAGTACATTAAATGATGCTTAATAGCTAGTTGATATATTTGTCTTTTAAAATACAACTGCCACATACGGATCGTTATGATGCTATGTGGATAAATCTATCGGCTTTCAAGAGCTAAATTGACAGCGCGTCATCAGTACAATGGCTTCCATTATTACGATTATAAAAATTATAAAAATTAGGTGGCGTAATGGAAAGATAATTTTGACGAAGTAGAATCCTGACTGTTCTTATTTATATTAAAGTCGTATGATACTTCAAATTAAAAAAAAGTTGAATATGTCGTTTATACTTGAATGGCTATGAATTACGTGTGCATGGACTTTCTTTCCAA